AAGCATTTTAATCAGTTTCATCAACATCTGTCCAAGGAAACTTTTGACAGCTAAATAGTACCCAACAAAGCACTTTGTTGGGTACTATTCAGGTCCCATAACGCTGAACTGCGCTTCTGAGTTCATGACCTACATAGAAATCGCGCGTGTGGACCGTCTTTCGATGGGATCGAGGTTTTATCTCTACCCTTATGGTCGACCGAAGGTTCCAACCTCAAACGGGGCAGTTGTACCTGATCCAAGACAAACACTTGCAATCATTCATTCACTATCTATAGCAGTTTTGTAAGCATTGCAACTAATAGCCTTGCAGACGAGCATTGATTTGAACTAAGTACTTGCGCGTCGTTGCTCGCTGACTGGCGCGGATTGGCAAGTTCGAGAACTTGTTACCGGCTAGTTCCAGTTTGCTCATTGCCATTTGACAAAAAAGGCTTGGGAGAAAATCACTCTCACACGACTGGCTAGCTCAATAGTGCGCATGTATGTATGATGAACATGTTAATGCGAAAGTGACTGGTAAACTTGATTAACTTTCCTAGAATGAAAGGAAATGTGCACGTGTAGCTTAACAGGTTAACGTGCTGACTTTCGTTGGCCAGAGGAGAGTTCCATCCCATCAGGCGCAATGGTTTTGCGGCCGACCTTTCATGCACTGTGATTACCTGTAAAATCAAGAGGCTATAGGAACTCGCGAACCTCACGCCCAAAACATGAGCTTGTCATGAGGTTCGCGAGGTCGCCGTCATGTCTTATGCCATCATGTCGGGTGGATTACTACGGGCCCAGGTGTTCATTATCGGAGCACTTGATGAATACCTTCTGTCTAATACCCTTATACTCAACAGTGCTTTATTTGAGCGCAGGAAATTTTGTAATTACTGTTTTTACATAGATTCTGCGTTCATTTTTTGCTCCAAAAAACACCCATAACTCGGCGCCCAGGGGCGCTTGGCAGATAGCGAAAACAAATTTGGAATCAGCGTTCAATGCTTTTCAAAGTGGTGTAAAATTCGTTTGGAAAGGCCACTTACTAAAGACGCTCCCATTGTTAGTATACAGATATATTTGTGACGATTGTGCAAACGTGTAAATGGCTCTCTTTTAAAGGCAGTAGGTCGGCAGAATGAGACCCGTGGCAAAACAAGGTCACAGGGTAGGAGCCCCCATATGGAACCTATGGCCAAAGTCCGATCTTTCTCTGCCACTTCTAACCCCCGAAATTTCAAAGCGAAAGCAGCGCTCATCTCCTGTCCTCTCCGATCCCGCCCACCCCATAGACGAGTGACTTTCGCGGTCAGAGCGCCAGCCACAATGCTATAAGCATGAGGTCCCGCAACGACTCTGCGTCTTCGCCATGACGGGCTTCGCGTTCACTCGTCCATGGGGTGGGCGGGTTCGGAGAGGACAGGAGATCAGCGCTGTCTTCGTTTTGAAATTCCGGGGGTTAGAAGTGGCAGAGAAAGATCGGACTTTGGCCCATAGGTTCCATTATGGGGCTCCTACCCTGTGACCTTGTTTTGCCACGGGTCTCATTCTGCCGACCTACTGCCTTTAACTCGAGCCTCGAGAATGTAATCTCTAACTTAGAATTTATGTAATGTTCAGACTTACCTTCATGTACAATGTTTTACTACATGGTAGATATCAGGTATCGAAATGCCTTCTTTCCTTTCTGTCAGAACACTGATGAACGTCAAAATCAAGCTAAAATCAGAGTTCTGCAACTGGATACTGCATGCAGGTGGGATACAAAGGGAAATCATAAAGTTTGATACTGCAAAGAACATTTCATTGATTAGGCCCCTCGCGTCGGTTTTGGTGCTTGAAATATTAAATAATCGCAATTTGACATGCATCCCTACTTTTCAGTTATTGCTTGATTCACAGGCGATCTGGCAATTTAGCGCTTTACCTAAATAGGCCAATTTATTTGAATTCAATAACAGACAATGCATGATCAGCGCACTTGTTGGTGAGTGCACGAGAAATTAACAAAGAAGCATCAAAGTTGAACAACTGACTTTGTTACGTTTGCAAAAAATAGCACCACGGCTGCAAAGTCCACGTACATCGTGGTCACATTCCACATAAGCGAGGTTGCGACATATTCGGTAGGTGGCACAATTCTTGCTGCAGTACACAGCGCTTATTGGTAGGGATTTCCGAATTATCGGATTAATACCAAGTTTTACTACTAAATAAAAAAACCTAACTAACAACATTTTGCTTTGCAATGTTTCAAATGAAAACTTTCTGATGTGGACCATAAGATAACCATTCAGTTCTTGCTCTTTTCGCTCCGCTTTTTTCCTAACACTAGTTTGCAAATTTTATCTTGCTGTCATCACGCAAAATGCAATTCAGTCCAACTTTGCAATTCTTAGCAAGGATAGATCAGCAAGCATTTGTACAAACATGGATATCAGGCTTATTGATTTTCTCCATTCGATTTGACCTTCTCCATTATCCATTGCAAAATGGGCCAAAACATTGTTGCCGAAAACCCAGTCACTGCAAATACATTGTTCTATTGGAGGAAAGCAAGCACTTTATGAATAAAATTTAGAACTGCTTATTTCTGTCGTTGCAATCCAATTGTCAACAGTTGTCACAATGCTGCTTTCCCTTTCTCGATGAAAATTTGTTTCGAACCATATATGAGTAGCTGAACAACAGGAATTTGTGTCACATCATAGCATTGTGAGGTGAGATTTTTTAGCTTAAAATCATAGCTAATGACCAAAAAGTTTCTTAACAGAATTTTAGGCACTACCAACGGATAAACTCTTGAGATGCTCTTTCTTCTCACGGCAATGGTATCAGAGCATTCTTCCGGCTTCGAAGATGATTATAGTATACAGTTTCTAGATTGTACCGCTATTTAGCACTGCATCAAAGAATATATCGGACTATTGCGAAGAACTGAAATACTTTATACATGACCAACAAGGTAAGTTTGAAAAGCACATACATAATTTAGCGCCTTGTGCAAAAGCTAGATATGAGCTAGATAGCTAAAGAGTATCTTTGCATAGCTTTTTTCACAGTAGTAATGAAACAGGCAAACTGAGAATTATGATCCCTATATTCTTTCCGTGGCATTTTTGGTCTAGAATTTTGAAGTCTGACTAGTTATGCTTTCGATCTTGGTATCGACTTTATTAGAACCGACAAGTCCATTTTGATGGACCTCTCTGCAAAATTGCTAACAATAAGTGGGGTAGGACAAACAAGTGTTGGAGTAAAGTGGAAATTTATGTGAAATTGACGACTGAGGAGGCACTAATCCTCGTGAAGAACTGATTTTGCAATGATCAACACTCAAAGAAATTTGTCATGCGGGATGAAGTTGCTATACACGTAAGGCCTCAGACAGAGTTCACGCGATTTGATCGTCGCGATTCAATTGCTACAAGACGAGTGTTACGAGTTCATTGCGTGAAGATCCTCTTGTATTTTGGTTGTGATAGTTAGTGAGAATTAGTCGTACTGGAAAACTATCACAGTCGAAATGCAAGAAGACGGCATGCAGTGATATTGTCACAGTTGCCTTGTCGCGATCAACCGCGACGATCAAATTGCGTGAACTCTGCCCGAGGTCTAAGGCCTGCCTCGGGTATACTTCAGGCGATTTTGATCGGCGACGCTATTTGGTAATGTTTATGATTCATAACTCTCATAAGCGCATGGTGAATGTGCGAAAGATATATGAATAAATATTAATAAATATAAATATAACATTCTATAAATCTGTTAAAGTTATACACACTATGTACTTGAGTCTGCGAGTACTGCATTTGAAGACATCTAGCAAACTGCCAAATCGCTTCGCGACTGAAATCGCGCGAAGTATACCCGAAGTCTAAGTACTAAAGTTTTATCAGCAGAGGGCATCAAAATAAAATATGAGTTGGCAAGGAGATATTTCAAATGGTCGCAAATATGACTGTCTTGATGAGTCAGATAAATAGTGTAATATTAGCAGCCAGCTTTTCTTGGTCTTCCAATAAGACAGCTTTGAATGGATATGTTTGAAAAATTAGTGCACGGTTTTCTCTAAAATCATTCACCTAGGTTTGAGGTACATTGTGAGCCCTACCCCACACTCCAGTTCTTGCGCTCAGACCTGAAAATGCACTTCAAAGTCGAACAGCCTGTCCTGTTGAGTGAGCGTCAGTGGTGGGGTTCTAAGCTGTTGGGAGTGCAAGAATTGAAAAGATCGGATGTGCGTCTTCGGGCACTTAGGAGGCTCTGACTACCTAAAGTCTCCAAAATTTGATAAGCGTTCATTTTGCCTAGCCTTTAACACATTGACGACCGCTTGACACACATAGTGTGTCAAGCAATGACTACCGCGTGGGACCGCTTGACACACCATGTGTGTCGAGGCTTGAACTTTGTTAAAATGACTACTATCCTGCAATAGATCACCCCACGAGCTTTCTTTTGCACTGAATCTAGGGGTGACCTCTACCTGTTTTGTCAGCCTTTCAGATCTACTGTTGATGTACTGCAGATCGCAGTATGCGTAATTATATTTGAATAATGTGGGCTGCTCCGTAAAAGACCTTGGTCCCAGAGGGCACACAACCAAAAATCTGCACGGTCGTCAATGTGTTAAGCAGCGTCTAGAATTGCTTGTGTGTCGTCGCGTCACAGCAACGTGCCAGCGCGGTGCTAGCGTCCCGCCGAGCCTGTGCAGACGCAGTGCGTATCGATAGATAAATCTCAGCGGCACAGCTCCAGCACGGCGCTGGAACGGTGTTGATACGTGCAACTCTGGAAGCAGCCTAACAACAACATCGGGTACGCAGTTCTAACCACACAGCTTATCTCAAAATTATCTAACATAAAAGCAGTCGCGCAGCTTCAGATAAAAATAGAGTAGTATCTGTATAACTACCTATCTGCTACACCAGCTATGATTAAAATCAGACTTGAATTTTGCAGCTCTTATGAATCTCTGTGGTTAAGTGCAGAAGTTCCACTTTCAGGCTATGGACAGCCTTTTAAAACTCATTCTTTACAAATTTGTCATAGATCTGTGCGCTATGTATGATATCTGTATGGCTTTTGCGATTAATGATATAAATAAACTTGGTTATGATGGATTGGCCAATGAAATTCATTCGGGGCCGATGGGAATGGTGAGACACCCGACCCTCTGAAGAGTCGGCATTAGTTTGATGATTTCAGATACCTGATTGTAATCGCCATGATGATGTGCTAACTAGTGTCGGATTGTTCTGCGCAGGATATTCAGGATACCCTTGCGCCGACGTCAAAACATGCGCATTCAAGAGCTGGTGTGTTTTTGCGTACGTCAGATCGGAATACTATTTGTATATTGTTCCAGGCCGAAAAAACATAAACTTAGATCAGAGAAAAAACTCGAAGCAGTTTTACTCGAACTTCAAATTGTTGTACTAAAAGAATCTATCAGCCACAAACATTATCAAGTGAGTTTTTTTCGTTTTTGCCCCATTTTTATTTGAATAAGCAAGTACTTCTTGGGAAGGCATGGCTACCGCAACAATCCTTTCAAATCTGTCGTACCTCCTTCTCCAAGAACAAAAATCTACGGATAAAATTGTGTCATTTCTATCGTCAACAATTCTCGGAAATGATAATGGAAAAGTTGACAAAAATCGAGATGTAACCACTTTGAATAACATTTTTGATGAGTTGCTAATCATTTCAGCCTACTGCTTTGGTGGGATGCGCTCAGAATATAACTTGCGGAGAGGAGGATGTTGTTGCTTGCTCTGCTGCATTCCTGTAAGTTTCGAATTTTCGTTCTTTTTCTAGTTACAAATTCAAAAAAAAAGCTTAGGAAGATTAAAAAAAACTTGAGTTGATGAAAAGTACCAGATTTATCTCGTTCAGTGCGTATGGTATTCAAAATTATTAGGTGAGACTCAGCAGTGAGTCACCAGGCTGAGTCACCTATGTATAAGCCTAGCGCAATGTATTTTGAATACGAAGTTGCTAATTCCAAATGCAAATTGTTGAAGTATTGTGTGTATTGACGAAATTTCGTGATTTGTCAGCATCCACAGACTATTACTCATTGATTCAACTGGATTGACGGCTGGAAGGTGGGGCTTCGTGACCTAGTTAAGGCTAGGGAATGACGAAAGAGCACAGGCGCGACAGAGACGCAGACTGCATCGCGAGCGCGAGCGGCCATAACTAGGCACAAGGCTCCGCCTTCCAGCCGCCAAGCCAGTTAAATTAAAGGGTAAAATGAACAGCTTTTCATTGCCAATTTGGAGGCTTTCTGGAGTTGTCTCCATACTGAACCAATTCAAAGCTAATAGTTCTCTACCATAATCAGAGAGAAACGATGAGGCACGAAAATCACTGATCCAACAGCGCTCATGTGTTTTGAATTACATCTAACAATAACATCTACAAAGTTTGCAGATGGGCCATGTTCCGCGAATACACCTGCTTTCTGCTATTTGGAGAAAATTGTGATGTTTTATTACAATGGCGTGATTGACGATCTATAAAAGTGCAACATTTTCCATACCTTACAAAATAAAAAGTAGCTTTTGCCATAGTCGAAATGATGCTACATTGCAGGTGCCCTTTCTTACTGCATTTTTTTAAAGGTCGATTAATGCCATAGTATGCTAAGCAGAGTTTGATAATTGCAGGGACGATGTAGAGGTGGAGAATCAAGAAAGCAATGAGGTGGAACTCACGAAAGAGAATGAAGAAGGCAATGAGGGGGAACACACGAACGAGATTGATGTTTATGATCAGCACAAGAATGACATTCAGAGCATTGTTCGGTAGTTATTGTTTTGAGAGTGATAAAAAGGAAAGATTTGTACCAGATAGATGTAAATTTTTGGTATGATGATATAAATCGTATTCTTTTTAGAATGCTTTTCAACTCGCATTAGCCACTTGAGGGAGGTTTCCTATGACAAAAGTCTAACATTTGCTTTCTCTTTACGAAAATTGCTCGTCTAGCACCAACAACGTTGCAGGAAAAGCATTAGGCCTCGGGCAGAGTTCATGCGATTTCATCGCGACAAGACAACTGTGACAATATCATTGCACGCCGATCTTCTTGCACTTTGGTTGTGAGAGTTTTCCAACACGACTAATCGTGACTAACTATCACAGCGAAATACAGAAGATCGGCATGCAATGAACTCGTGGCACTTGTCTTGTCGCGATGAATCGAGACGATGAAATCCCATGAACTCTGTCCGAGGCCTTACATTCTTTCATGTCTCTCGCAGACTACCGCAAACAAGTGAATTGAAAAACCATTAGAGAGGATTCCGAGATTAAACGGAGCAGGTGCACTCGTTCGCAATGAACTTTAATTTTCAAATTGGAACTTATTGATCAGAAGACAGGGATCGGAGGGAAAATGTAACGACTGTGTACAATGAATTCCTTCGATAAATCCTTTGCAAATGTACGGCTTCATGGGACCTTGCTGTATTAGGTCATTCAGAAACCACAACTTTTCCTAATCCAGTCTCTTTGCAGCACATACAATTTTCTGTGTTTGCACTCTCTGCCAACACTCCTTTAGTGTCCCTATGTTTTTTCCTTCTGAAACGATTCTAGAGGCAGCTATAAAGCCTAATAAGGCGTTTTTGGCTAACCACTGTTTTCAGCTCTAATATTTTTGTATAGGGTCAAAGGAATTGCGGATAAATGGTGACTGATAAGGGATTGTTTGAAGAGGTCGAGGATTAGATGAGAACTTCGATGCGCAATTGATCACCTTTCTGAGAGCCACCTTGGTTACATGTGGTTCGGTGGCATCGTACGCAAAAATAACATCTCTCATAGCTGTGTATGGAAGCATGCTCAATTTTTAAATTTCAACAAGCAATCTTCAGACCATTATCACAATACTCTGCGCCAACTGCACAGCCACATCAAAAATCGAATTGATTTGGATTAAAACCTTTTATAATGACTCAAAGTTCATGCCATGATTTTAAAGCTCCAAATATTTTATCACGAACTTGCTTTTAGATCAACCCATTTTACTACTGTAGTTGAACCAACTTTTGCTTTGAATGTCAGGCCAAAAAGTGATTGTTTTATCAAATTATGAGCAATGAAAGCAAAGTCAACGCGCCTTCATTTTGCTGTCAATTTGCCGGGTATTCACTTGCTACAACTTTTTTGCATCCAGCTTTAGCAAAGGGCTACAAATTTAATGATCGCAGCTATAGCAAAGGTGGTTTTTTCTAACAAGATTATGATACTTCTATGCCTGATGCATAATTTGCGCAGCGACAATCGCGATTTGCTCTAAAAGTCTCTCTGAGCTTTTCCTCTGTGCGCCAGAAAGACCCCTAGGACATTGCAAAAAAATAAGTCGTAGTTTTCTAGAACTACCTTTTTGAACCAATCTTGCACCAGCCTTGAGAAAGGTGTATCCTTGAAATGATAGCAAATACACTGCGCACGATAGTTATTCTTACAGCTGCCTTGAGTTTAACTTTGAGCTTAGAGTTTGCAATTATTTAAGAGTTGTTTTTTTACATGTCACTTTCATAGCCATGTAAACCTCCTTACAATGCAAATTCTGCAGGTCTGGTGCGATTTCCAGGAACTTGAAGAGTCTCTCTACCCATATACAGAAACCCAAATCCCTTTTGACACTCACTCTCTGAAAACATGGCACCAAGGAAGAGCTCAAAAAGCGAAAAAAAGACCCCGAATAGCCCAATAGAACATGAGTAAACACCGCAGCGATTGCCACAACACAAGTTGTGCATATATCAAGCTGAAAATCATGTGCTAGAACAGAATTTTCTACCGGAGCTTAGATGAATTTCATTTGAAATGCAAAAGTATGCGAGATGGCTTTGTTGCTACATATGTCACATACGAACTCTGCTCTCAATCACTGATCTGCTAATGCTTATTTGTACGCATTTAGACAATAGTGAGATGAAATAAACAGTTGACATTCATGCCTTTTGTACCGCAGATAATACCTCGATGTGATTACCATTGTCTACATTATAGAATTGGAAAATCAGACAATCACATAGAGACATGCTATTTAGGAGAGCATTTCTTTCTGGAAACAAATCATAAACTAACCTTCAAACGCTTAATTCAAGTGTGAAATTGAATTTCTGAAAAAAAAATTCGCAAACTTGAGTTGACGATATGCAGTCAGTTCCTAGCTCAGCACGGCTGGCACAGGAGCAATAAGTCATTCGAAAGGAAAGCACCGGGTGCCGCCTCGGCTGGTACCAACCCTCGGGCACGAGAATCTTATTCATACCGCACATGGTTTTGAGTGTATGTAAAAGGCGCGATTTTTATTACCAGAAGGACAGCAATTAGCGCATTTTTTAGTGTTTATTTATTTATTTATTCTATACGCTCGATGGCGTTCCATACAATAAAACAAAAAGCAATTATTCATATTCTAACGGCAATGATTGTGCATCATGTAGTTTGGGTCTAATCTTAATAGAAGTATGATGAAAGCTTGTATTTGACTGCTTCATGATTATAGTTATCAGAATTGAGTAATGTGATCCATGGAGAAGTACCCATGCCCCCTTTTGCCAGCAAAATGCTTATGTTTTTTCAAGCAAACAAGGCTTGATGGTCGATACTGACCTCACCAAACCAGTAAATCAGGGAGAGCAGTGACTCCAAGTGAATTACAATAAGGGCTGTAATGATGAATGACTCATACCTGAGCGCAAAGATCAAGTTAAGTTATTGTAATCTATGGAGATGGCAATCATGCCAACTAATTTGCCAGCAGAAGCGCTTGCAATAATGTAGCAAAGCGGGGCTAGGTTGGTGGAGTAATACTACTCAACCTTGCCCAAATGATTCCGGGGAGAGTGCAATGGCTCCGGAAGAATATCAAATGTTTCACTTTTTGTAATTCAACTAAAAGCAAGTCAACAAGCTATAATTATTGAAAGAGAAGTAAATTGATCAGACCTGAACTAACGTGATGGCAAGACTTGGGGTTAGTAAGACATTTGAAAGAAAATGATATTAAAAAGACACAAGTTGATAGTTGTATTTTAGTATGCATTTTGTAGTCGGATCATGTAATCACAGCCAGCTATAGCAATACCGATGTCGAATTGGTGCTATTTGATCATGGCAAATAGATGTCGGACTAGCACTATTCAATGTATTACTATGTGCGAGTGTAGTGGTCAAATTGTAATTCGAGCTGTAGCTAGTTTGAAGGAGTATCTGACAAACGCGATAGTAGAAGAACGTAGTGAATTTTCGGAGACTTAGCATTCATGCATCCAACCTTCAACGTGTAAGGCAACGCGATAGAACAAGGATGGTGACTGAAAGAAGGTTCTCAATAAACTGAATTCAACCATAAAGGTAAGCAAGATCCTGCCTCCTTCAAGTCAAAAATTTCCTCAGTTTTGACTTGAAGGAGGCACTGCTAGACGATCGTAGAACATCAGAAGGTAGGATTTCGGAAGAGATATGCAAGGTTATTGCCAGAGCTGTTCAACTTTATATATCGAATTAGATTCAAAATATGAATGTACGAGTTCAAAAACTCGAGAAAATGCAACTAATCGTAATTTCGTGAATATTTCGATCAATTCTTCATTAAATGCCGTCAAATCCACCAGCTGGTGAACTTAGATAGTTAGTAAGCTGAAGCGCTTTGTCTGGTATTTTTGAAGACTCGCATAGCTTCAAACTGGAGTATTGGACTGATAATTGGAGAAGCTCCTCTTGACCGTCTCTCCATGGTTTTCGACCTTCTACATGAATCTAATA